GGTCCCTTCCAACCCCTACCATTCTGTGATACAATTTGATATATTTTAATCATTATACAGCCAGCAAGCAGCACCATTTCTCGCTATGAACTCAGAATTGAAATTTCCCTACTGGTAAATGCTTTATGCAAAAACAAAGCCTGTCCAGCTATGTGGTCCTTGTAGTCTGTCTTTGTGTGGAATGGCTTCATCAGTGTGTTTCTGTACACAAATGTTTGAAGTGCTATTTTCTAACCAGAGATTGGGCAGCTATGAGAGCCACACTGAAGCTGGAATGTGGTTTATACAGAGATTTGTTTCCCTTAGAAGAGTCATATCTGTTAAAACATGGGTACTGAGAAAAATCAATGAATATAGACGTACAATTTTTTTCAAATTTAAGAGTATTTCAGGAAAAAGCATCTCTGCCCCTTAAAATGAGATACATAAGGCTTTCCAATATTGCTTCTTCATACCAAGTTTTGGATAAAAATATCTTTGTCTTCACTCTACCTCTTGTGTGTTGATAGTGAAATGCTCATTATTGGATTGTTTCATAGATCCTCAGACTGCAAAGGAGATTTTTGATTTTGCAATGAAGGCAATCAACCCACAGGTAAATCTGCCCCGTGTTAATTGTTCTGCATAAATGAATTAGCCCTGGTGAAGAATAAATTATGTATGACAAACCTTTTCTGATATTACAGGTTGATCAGAAGCGATATGCAGTACATCTAGGTAAGATTGTAAATTATTTCAATTTGTGCTGAGGTAGATACGGTACATACAATGGTGTCTTCTGTCTGGAGTTGTTTATTCTCTACTGGCTGTCTTCAGATGGCTCTATTCTTCAGTCTTCTAAGATGATTGGGGAGCAAAGCTGGTGTACTTTAAGTTGGAATCTAAAGAGTTAAATGTGTGTTTGGTTAAAGTAGGCAAGGTCTAATCAGTTTATGAACAGCAGCATTACACTCGATGCCTTTTGCCCCTCCAGAGTAGTACAAAACCCTGGTATGAGAAGGGAATCATGGTAGGAGTAGAAATCAGAGGAACATAGCAAATTAGGAGAAAAAGAAGATGGTGGATTGGGTTATAGGAAAAGAAATAGAAAGAGAAGAGGAATTTCACTGGAAGCAGGAGAAGGAAATGGGGAGCAAATGAAGTACATGAAGAAAATCAGAAACTGGCCTGTGAAATGTGAGTGGCTTATGCAGAAATTACCAAAATGCAAGGTTTGGGTACTAGGCCCATGACAACTGTGAAGGCTAAAACCCTCTTTAAAGATAGTCTGCTCCCCCTTCCCCCCTCCAAAAAAAAAATTCTGAATTCTTTATTTGTCTGCATCACAGTTGGTTTGAGGAGGGGACTTGAGCATATGTCCTGACCACAAAAACCAAATCCTTGTGAATTGTGATGGAGTATTATTATTTGTAACCACGAGAGTCCCTTTCTTTTTTACAGTTGGTGTAAATTACTTCAGAACACAACTGTGCTTTTCATAATGGTGTACATTAAAAAAGAAGATTCTGGAGAGTTGTTTCTATGCTTAAGTTCTTAGTGTTTGGATACTGATACTGTAATGGCTAGACGAATACATGTTATACCCTCCAGTCATGGTAGATACACCCATCTAAAGTCCTAATGTGGACTTTTATTGTCTGGTCTTGTTTTGAAAGTGGAATATAGGTCTGGGTTTTAATGAGAATTGTTTTTACATTGCAGCTGGTTTACAGTTGTTCACCTGGCATGCTGCTCAGTTTGGTGCCTTGCTCCTGGACAACTATGTCTCCCTCTTTGAAGCAATGTGTAAATGGTGTGGCCACACAAATCAGGAGCTGAAGAAAGCCAGTCATTCTGCACTGGATTCATTCCTCAAGCAGGTATTGTAACTTCACTGGGACCTCTGAGACTAAAGATAAGTCAAATTTCTTGAAATAGTGGGAATATTTGGTGCTTGGCAGTTCAGTGAATCTGTTTAATAAATAATTATTTGTGTTGAAGTGCTTCGTATTACGACCTAGGTATCTTTTAAGACGACTTTAATTTTTTTTGTGTCTCTTTCATGTTTCTCTATCTGCTTTACAGATTTCTTTAATGGTAGCTAAGGATGCAGAGCTACACAAGAGCAAGTTGCAGTTCTTCATGGAGCAGTTCTATGGAATCATCAGAAGAATGGATTCAAGCAACAAAGAGTTGTCCATTGCCATTCGTGGATATGGGCTTTTTGCAGCAGTATGTGCAGGAAACTTGTTCTGATAAAGAAGCGTACTGAATAGATTTAAAGCTAGAATTCACATACCATTCATTTTACAATTGTATACAGCTTGTTATGTAGGGA